TGACCAGAAGGACAACACTTATGCTCAGAATGAGCAACATTATACCTCAGCAGGGTTCATGCTGGTCACATGATTAGACAGTCTAATGAAAAAGACTAATGGATAAGAAAGAATATTATTAGGATAAGAGCCACACATGGATAGGGACACGGGGCCTAACAGATTTGGTCAGTTTAGGCAGATCGAGCAGTTTGGATAGTATAAACGGACAGTCCACTCGGGCAGTCTTGGGAAACAAGGTATCATCCCTATTAAAGTGAAGTATGCTCATTATCAGATTACATTCTCTATATTCTCTACATACATATAACACTTCAGCCTTTTTAAAGTGCTAACTTAAGCATCGGAGACTCCACACCAGAAAACCCATATGGTGTGAGAGTTTTTGCATATCTTGAGGAAATTCAACTTGCACGGAGCTCGAATCAGGCCGAATTACAGCCGGTCGGAGGTCTTTTGCGTAACATAATTCATAGTGGGATAAAATTTTCCAGTCTATCTTACAACCTTATCCATTTTATTTTGAACTTTGGTGCACAAGTGTTATCTGATCCACTTATGCATGGTGATTAATGGCTTCTCCATAGCCCAAAAATTGTTTCTACTAAAGGTCTCACAAATATTGTTTAGAAACTTTGACAGATCAGAAAAGAATGCACTACACCATTTATGGGGTCGTTTATCTTAAACAATTGAATGCATCAACACGCGTTCCTTTAATTTCCAACATTCATGCTATAAAATGTCACACAATTGTGACATGTGCTTCCTTCCACACATCATTCCATAAGAAAAATATTGTGCAAATTCCTAACCCATAATCCATGGGCTCCCCCAAGGAAGACAATGTCAAATGCCTGTATAACCCCTTCATACTTATCTGAAATGAATGTCTCTATTTTTTGCATGGTCAAAAACCACTCCCAACTCTCTCTGAATTCCACTCCAACCACAACAAATGCAATAATGAATAAGTTATTGTTGGGGTCTACCCCAACTGTAGTTAACAAAATGCCACCATGTGGGCCCTTAAGATGGCACTCATCTACATCTACCAGTGGTCTACACCCATCGTTGTAACAATCTTTTAGACCAATAATATGAACATAAAACTTACTAAATCTCTCATCATCACTCACATTTTTCAGTTGTCAATACCACTGTTGAACCAGGAATGAAAGATTTGAGCTCCTCTGCATAATCCCATAGTTGTGAGTATTGGTCATCAAGATGTCCCTAAAGAACACTCGTACCTCTTCTCTTAGCCCTATAAGAATGATTTTTTGATATATTTACATTAAGATCATGAATTACATCAATCCTCATGCCCTTCACACTTCTATTTGGGTTAGTTTTAAAATTGACAATGTACCTCTCACTCAACCACTTAGACTTAATGTTCTTCACGTTGAAGGTTCCACGACATGTATGATAGAGATTTTACTCTCTAATTTGGTAACTAGGTTGACCCCTCATTTGTAGAAGATTACACCTCCGATAATAGCTTTCATCTCACACCTAACATAAACCCTAATCATATCATTTTAGTTGTCTTTAGGGTCATGTTTTTCTTAATTTAAAGTGATTGAATGTCTATTTAAACTTCTATTTAGTTTTCAAAACAATTCCCAACTCAAACACAGACTAAAAAATATGTCCAGGATTGAAAACATGAGGCTCTGGTTCATGCTCATTATTGGGTACTATTTGAAACGTCGTTGATATGCACATCCTTTTAATAAATTAAATCCTTACGCATCGAAATCTATAGTTAGGACCAGGACTTGCGGTTTAAAAATTTTACCGACTCTGAGACGTTTCTAATTTTTTTCTGATGGAGTTCGTTTGAAATTCCTTGAGTCGTGTGCGTCGAGATCTCCGAAATGGGCCTCGGGATCGTCGGGTCTCGCACTGTCCCGACAAAGAAAGGTGAGACAATGTTCTATCATCTACGTCATCCTACACTCCACAAGCGAGATCGTGCAACAAAGTCAGGATCGATGGGCAGACTCTCTCGTTGGGTCAGAAGCAGAGGAAATACTCGTATATCCAGGACTGCAAAAGAGTCAAGCAACTAGACAGTCCCTGTACGTCCCCTCTGTTGGTAATACCTAATTGTCGGTACATGTAAGCCAGTGCACACGAGCCCCAGGAGTAAGTCCCAATACTACCCAAGTCGTCGATCATCTCGTATATGAGTTTGAGACCACCTTGCTACTACTCTTGTCAACAAATAAGGTAGTAGCTAGCAGCACCCTAATCAAGGAAGTAGCCTCATCCACAGGCAACCGACTTTTCCCTTGAAATGCATTCAAAATGGAGGCAACTGTCACCGCACCACACTGCCAGAACGAGCCCATTAGCTCAATCTTCGTGACCTGCAGCATCTCCATGCAGTACGCCTGGCAAGCGCCTGCGTCGGGGTCCTCTGCGACTATGGCTCCCTCCATAGGAACCCCCACAATGGTCTGAAAGTCGTGCAACATAATACTCATATCACCAAAAGGCAGGTGAAACGAGTGAGTATCCGGAAGCCAGCGTTCCATAATTGTAGAAATAAGTGGAGTGTCCACGTGGGTGTACAGGGAGTCCACCAGATGTGACAGCCCGATCTGACCAATAAGATCATGTGTAGCGCGATCCATGCCTAAGAGCTAAGTCCTCAATCTGTAGTGTGCTCCCATGTTTTGGCATTGCAGAATGCCTTTAAGCTCTCCAGTCCACATGCGGGAGGCTAAATTCCCTAGAAAGCTAGGGATAACACTCCTATCAAGGGGGCCACCAGGAACTAGGCCTCTAATGACCCAGGCATCCTCATGTTCACTTATAGATCGTTTGTTAGTATCCTCTTATATATATATATACGATATATTGTGTATGATTGTACCGATGGTATGGTATTATTAAATAAAAATATCTAATGATAAACAACAATAAGTACGTAAATTATTTACCTGAGGATCCAGTGCCCACAAGATGGCCCCCAACCTGTCGTGGAGGAGCAGGTCGTGCAGGAGGCCAGGAGTGTGTCGTGGGGGAGGAGGAAGAATGTCCTCCTCATATGCAGAGTCAAAGTCCTCAGAATCATCTGAGAATTGCAGCCACTCGGCTGTCGACTAATAATAATAATCCCGCTGCTGACCACTTTGTACCAGAGCGAGAGGTCTCGAACTGGCAGCCAATAATAAGCAGGATTGTTGACTACACTGTAGAGAGCGAGGGATCTCAAACTACCAACCTAGTCAGCGTGACCAATCTGTCTCATGCAAATCTGACGCATCATTTCGTCTCTCCCGAGGAACGGAAGAATCTACTAACCAACTCCTCGTGTGTCGAGATCCAGAACCAAAATACTCAGCAACCCCTTCATCGGTGGCTTGTCACCCAGGTCCACAAACAATCTAAATCAACAATTTAAATTAATAATTAGTAAATGACCCTTTTAAATTCATATATTTTATTAATTATTATAGATAATTACAATTAACTATTTATCAATAATATGTACACAATTAATCATAATTATTATTATTATTATTATTATTATTATTAATTATTACTATTTCTGAAAATACATTATTAAATACAAGTAATTATTTGCCTAAAATGTATTAAAATACAAAATTCAAAATATAATTTCACTTTTTGATTATATAGTTATACAACTACTTAATTAAGATTTTTGTACAAAATTTTCAACTTATATTAAGATACTAATTATAATTTTTGAAACTAATAATTATTCAACAAACTATTTTATTGCATATATTACAACTACTTCGTTTCCTAAAAATAATAAAGTTAGTTGCATTATCCTTTTAATAATTAGTATTATCAACAATTATTATTATCATAATTTTAATATAATTATATTAACTATTATATATAGTATATTATTTATAAGTAACATGTCATTAATAGATACTAAATTAAAATTTATATGAATTAACCTAAATAAAAAATTAAGCTGATTCTATTTTTAAATAATTAAATATATTTTGATAATTTCAATTATTAAAGAAAATAAATTTTGATTGGTCGGCCGCTTGCCGCGACGGCCGCCTGGGAGGGGCCAGCCACTGCGCAGCCGATTACTGTGCGGCCGACCACCTATGGTGGCCATTAAAGGTGTGGCTGGCCCCTAATGCCAGCCGCTTACGGTCCGACCGAATCCTAGGAACCAGTCTTGCCATCGTCGGCCGATTACTTCCTTCACAGCCAGCACTGCGGCCGTCGGCCGTGCAGAAACTTTAAAAAAAAAATTCAAAATTTTTTACAAAAAAAAAAAAGTCGTACCAAGCAAATTATGAATATCTTGCCTCAGCTCTCACGAGGATTTGACATTTTTTGGAATTTTTTTTGGAGGTGCAGCAAGGCGGCAAAGAGACAACGAGTTCAAGAGAGAGTCAGAGAGAGAGAGAGAGGGCATGGAATTTTTTTGGAGGTGCAGCGAGGCGGCAAAGAGACAACGAGTTCAAGAAAGAGAGTCAGAGAGAGAGAGAGGGGGCAAAAAAGTAAATAAAGAGTACGGTGAGTAGCAATAAGGGGACAATGAAGGCAAAAAAATTAAATAGGAAGTACGGAGAGTAAAAATAAGGAAGCAGTGAATAGCAATTCGCATGTTTAAGCGGAAATGAATGAATCACGAGAGTGAGACAGATAATATACAATATCCCTTCAACGTGTCAGTAAAATATGCTGAAAAAACTATAGGACTTCCTGTTAGTCTTGTCACAAAGATTACAACTACAAGTTTTCGAATATCTATTAACCCCCACAATGATATACCAGATCGGATCTATATTTCACCACATCCATCCAAGTGACGTATTTTTTTTAACGTGTATTACCTCAAAATATAAAAGTTGTCCGTCCAAGTAAACAAATCATAGAACGAACGAACGAACAAAAAAACGGTGTTAATTTTTTTTTTTTGGTATACGTCTCTAAGTGCTCCTTTTAGCGAGACCAATGTCACACAGTGAAATTCTGATTGCTAGCTATGGATTTTTGGCTTTCTTAGATTTACTCTTTTCCTGCATCCTCTTCTTCTTTGCCTCGGCAGTAATCCAGGAATAATCGGGAGGGATAGCAAACGGGTCTTGGATATTCTCAATCTTGCTGCTCGAGCTCGACCCAGCTATGGATGAAATAGGACGGTTATAGGGGGATTTTATCCACTGGAACCAAGACGAGCTTGAAGGCTGAACCAAAGCAGGGCTCTCTTTGCCAACAGCAGTTGGGCTCGAAGGAGGTGTTGAGAACTCATCCACTGGTTGCAACTCCTCGAATTTCGTGAAAGTAACTATCACTCTGATGGTGGGGACCACTGGGATAGCGATCTGAAATAGATGGGAGACGAGTTACAAAGAATTAAAGACATCATAAGCAACTAAAGATACAACTGATGCAGAAACATCACATATCTAAGAGAGGAGAAGCAAGAGGCCTGGAAGAGATTATTTTAGAAAAAAAAAAAAATATATCCTGGTAAATGGTGCCAGCCAGACTGAAGGGAAGTATTAACTTGTAAACCGACGTTTCAATTCTCATTTGAAATAGGGTGATATCACTGCATCAGAGAAGGATCTCTTAAGCAATGGATTCAAATTTCAGAGTACAAAATACGCTAGAAAAATGCATATTCCATTTTTCTTTCCTTCTTTAAACCAAGATTTGGACGCAAAATAAGTGGAACATGTGTGGCCAAACAAGATAATGGTCACACACTTACTACTGCTATATTTAATTATTAAAAAAAATGTGGAAAAAATAGAACATCTTACTAGAATATATATGTATATATAGCCAAAATCTACGAATCCTTACAACGCAATGATCAAATTTCAAATATGGATCACGAGAGGAACTATCCATAGTTTGCTGAAAATTTCAGCAATCCATCTTCTAAGGAATTTTACCGAGCCATTTCAGATACTCCAAAAACAAATCCTCGAATATGGACACAAGTTCAGATAGTCAAACGGAGAACCCAAATTACTATTAAGTGGAACCTACTCATTTTTCATAAACAGCTCCCAATCTAGGAGCATATTAGGGTGGTCATATTTAACTAGCTCTTGCAATGACAATTGTGAAACTTCACGTCAAAATATTCACTGAACTTCTGGTATCCAGAGTATCTAGATAAAGAATATCAGCAGCATACCATGAGTTATTACAATGTTGAACCTATGATTTAGCAGACCCCACAAGATATTCTTCGATTCAGCCAACTACATGGACAAGAGAATTCAGAACACTTAAGACAACTATCTCCCACAAGATTTTGCAACAGTTTCAAGATCATGGTGTTGCACAATGAACAGAAATATTTCCGCAACAATCGAATTATACATGCCAAATACTCTAATAAACCCATGAGATTACTGACAACCAGATAATGACAAACGCAAAACATGATCAGATATAACATGTTTCTGCATTGCAGATATTTGTTAAAATGAGAGAAAACTTATAATGCAAACAAATGTATAAGAAGCACACCTTGACAGGAAAAGTTCCCTTGGGTAGTTTCGTAGTGAATAACTCTCTTACTCTTCGTACAGCTTTAACCTTGTTTGCCAAAATATCAAGCAGTGGAAGGAGTTCTTCAGTACGTAATGGAAAATTCGGAGAAAGCCAGAGAATCGGCCTCAAACCTTTCTTATACTCGCTTTCCCGATTTCCATCCTTTCGCCGATTTCCACTGTCAATGGTGGAAGACGAAGGAACTTTACTTTCTCTTCCTCTCCGGTGCTCGTCCCTTTTAATAACAACCTCCACAGAGTGCCTTCCCGGTGTACTCTGAGTACTTGGAAATTCCTCCAAAAGATCACTAACTTTTTCTTCCACGCACAAAGAATTTCTTGGTGGAAGAGTTCTTTTCTCGTTCTCTTGTTTATTCTCCCTTCTCCTCCAGCCGTTGAGCCATCCTTTCCTTTCCAGCTTATTATCTCCATTTCGGCCACCATGAATGTCCTCAATGGGAATTTCCCTTTGATGGTAACAGCTGTGACGATGTGCGATCGTGCTGTCTGCGCCCTCATTACTCAAATCTGTCGAGTCCATCTTAAGAGCAACCTCTAGCTGCCTTCTCTCCTCCTCCGTCAGAATACCATCAAACTCGCTCTCTGTATCATTCTCGTTCGAGGAATTAAATAACTCATCGTTCGACATGGCACCAGGGACACTCCTTGATCTAATACTCACGACCACATTATGCATATCGTACACCTTCGCCTTCCACGGGCCGACCATCTCTGATTTCTCCTGTCTCCTCCACGTTATCTGTGGCAAAAGAACTGCCTGGGTCACGTCAATCCCGGGTCTGAATATGTTGGTCTGGGACATTGCAGTGACCTCTTGCTGCACTTCTGCCTCACTAGCTGGAGCACCAGCACCATCCAAGGCATTCATCACCTCTTTATCCTTGTGTGAGACCATGCAGAGCGAGCCTGGGGGAACTTGGCCGTCTTCCGAGCCATCACCAAGGAACAGAATACTCTGATCCGAACGTTGTAGCCTGAAACCATCGAAACCTGCCAAAGTCATATCCGCCCTCAGGTTGGCGCCCCTCTTCCAGATTTTGTAGGTGTCAGATGGGGCAATCCTCGAGATGAACGGGATGACCGAGCTCTCGAAATGGA